ATTTTTGGAATATATAAAAAATACTGGTGAAAGAATCAACGTCAGAGGGCCCACACCCTGTCCACGAGGGTGGGGGCGCCCCCTGGGGCGCACCCCCTGTCTTGTGGGCCCCTTGATGCTCCACCGACCTCAACTCCGACTCTATATATTTACGTTTGGGGAGAAAAAAATCAGAGAGAGGGATCCATCGCGTTTTACGATACGGAGCCGCCGTCAAGCCCTAATCTCTCTCGGGAGGGCTGATCTGGAGTCGTTCGGGGCTCCGGAGAGGGGAATCCGTCGCCATCATCATCAACAACCTTCCTCCATCACCAATTTCATGATGCTCACCGTCGTGCGTGAGTAATTCCATCGTAGGCTTGCTGGACGGTGATGGGTTGGATGAGATTTATCATGTAATCGAGTTAGTTTTGTTAGGGTTTGATCCCTAGTATCAATTATGTTCTGAGATTGATGTTGCTATGACTTTGCTATGCTTAATGCTTGTCACTAGGGCCCTAGTGCCATGATTTCAGATTTGAACCTATTATGTTTCCATGAATATATGTGAGTTCTTGATCCTATTTTGCAAGTCAATAGTCACCTACTATGTGTTATGATCCGTTAACCCTGAAGTGACAATAATTGGGACAATTACCAGTGATGACTACTTCTGGTACTCTATTAAAAGGAGGCCCCTTAGTTTCCAATAGGACCCCGCTGCCACGGGAGGGTAGGACAAAAGATGTCATGCAAATTCTTTTCCATAAGCACGTATGACTATATTCGGAATACATGCCAACATTACATTGATGAACTGGAGCTAGTTCTGTGTCACCCTATGTTATAACTGTTACATGAGGAATCACATCCGACATAATTATCCATCACTGATCCAATGCCTACGAGCTTTTCACATATTGATCTTTGCTTATTTACTTTTTCGTTGCTACTATTACAATCATTACAAAACCAATACTATTACGTTTGCCACTGCTACCGTTACTTCCATATTACTTTGCTACTAAATACTTTGCTGCAGATATTAAGTCTTCTAGGTGCGATTGAATTGACAACTCAACTGTTAATACTTGAGAATATTCTTTGGCTCCCCTTGTGTCGAATCAATAAATTTGGGTTGAATACTCTACCCTCGAAAACTGTTGCGATCTCCTATACTTGTGGGTTATCAACTACTTTTTAGTCTAGAGACCGAGCTCCTACCTCCATATTAATTCCTTGCATGACCGCCATTGCTGATGAAAATACTTGTGAAGGAGACCTAGTAGTTCTGCAAAAGCGATTGTCGTTTTGAGATTTCCAAAGACACCACAAGAAGGTATAGAGTGAGACAACATTTATTTATGGATGATTGGAAGTGAGGAGGGCTTGGATCATTTGTGAGACTGAACTATTATGTGGGGCAATGAAATCTGTTTTAGTAAACCATGGAAAACTATACCAAGCTGCTTTTGCAAAAGGGCATAAGAAAAAAAGATGCATCTCATCTTCAATATTTCCACAAGTTATATAGTTTTTCACTAATAAACTTAGAATAAGTACCTGCCCTTTTACCTGTAGCAAGTGCTTTCCTAAGAAGTCTCCAAGCGAATGTTTGGACTCTTGGAGCCATATGCTTCTCTTTCCATACCTGGTTTAGCAATGCTATAATCTACGGTGGTACAATTTTTGGCCTTTGTCTTGAAGGAAGCTGAAGATTGGCAAAGCTATGTTTGTATACACTTTTGGAAGAGAACATACCTATAGGAGTTAGCTTCCATACAAGAATGTCTTGACTGGTAGTACAGATAATCAGGGTGTGAATTATTGAATGAACTATAGGAGGAGAAAATAACATATTAATTAAGTTAACATTCCAAACTTTTTGCCCAGGAATCCACAAGTCCTTAATTTGAGCTGGGTAATTAAAAGAGCGGGGTTGGATGATGAGGTTATCATAAATATTTTCCCATCCTTCAAACCAAGGTGTGCTCCACAATAAACTATTTCCATCTACAATCTGATAGATGGATGCTAAAATCAGAAGAGGTCTTACCTTCAAAATTGCGGACCAGAAAGTATACTTTGGTGTGTTAGGCTTTGCCCTCCAAATAGGTGTGTCATGATGGTACTTAGCCTTGAGTATTTGGTCCAACTGGCTTTCTGGTTCCTTTGCAAGTCTCCATGCGGCCAAGCGAATGAGACCTTGATTGATCGCCTGCAAATTCCTGATGCCTAGGCCACCAAGTTTCTTGTCCGTGCAAATATTCGTCCATGCCCTTAGACAAAGGCTTCTTATTGTTTGGTCATCTTGAACACCTGTCCACCAAAGGTTTCTAATAATATCCGTGAGCTTGGTTAATTTTTTTTTTGAGAAAAGTATATTGGACATGTAGTAGACAGAGGCCGAATCCAAGGCAAATGTTGGGTTCTAGGTCTGCTAGCCAGTAAGAGCTATGCACGCCTACTGCGAGACATAACGCAACTCCCTCTTGCAATAGGCAAGCGGGAGATGGACCGGCCAAATAGGGGTTTCTTGGAGCGGGTTTCAGTGCGTTTATTTTTTTTCTTTTTCCTTTTATTTTATTTTGTTTTCCAGTCTTCTATTATTTTCTTTTTTCTTTTCTATTTAGTTTTCTTTGTTCCTTTGCCAGTTTTTGTTTTCTCTTTCCGGTTTTCAATGTTTTTTTTTCCTTTTTTACGACACATGTCTACTTTTCCCACACACAATATACATTTTTATAAGTCAGGGATTTTAATAGATATTTAGCATTTTTTAATAAATGGTTAACACTTTTTCCCAATATTTTTTTGCATGAACCAATATATATATATATTTTTAATGACTACTTTTTACATACACATTGTACATTTTTTGTATACATCAGGAACATTTTTTGTTTAACTTTTTTCAAGTACATAATTAATATTATTTTGAAGTTTATTCTTTTCATGTATGCCTTAGATTTTTGTATAGATCAGTAACATGGTTAACATTTTTTAATACATGATTACATGTTTTTCAATATATGTTTTAAATGCCTACTTTCTTTCATACACATTGTACATTTGTTTTATACATCAGGAATATTTTTATACATATTCAACATTTTTTTAATATTTTCATACGCATTGTATTGACGCGAGCCGAGGCAACAGTTGTTCGTCACAAGCACATGGAAGCTTACATGGGCCGGCGGCCCACCGCGAGGCCGACTAAATCTAAGAGAAAGCAGAGAGCAGCTGACCATGCGCGCGTGAAAATTGCTTAAGTTTCAGTTTTGATCGTGCAGTTTTCTCAACGGAGAGACGCATAAGGCAGAAGTAGCCGATCACATATGACTTTGGTCTTTGGAGGACATTGCCAACTTTCCTCTTCACTTTAGCACTTGTGTTTCTTCTCCTATAGCACGGACTAGCGCCACATCGCAGGTTCAGAATCTTGATTTTGCCTGCTGGTGATAGCATATATTACAAGTACGATTTTCAAATCTCAAGGGCTCATGTCGATTTCTTAGGGTGTGTAGTGTGCAGATCCGGCACCTGTTCAACTTGGTGTCGGTCTGCAGATTGCGCTTTTCTGGTGCCTGATCTTGTCTTGCAGCAAAAGATGTGTGCATGTTACGAGGCAAGACTGAAGACTGAACTCAACTTTGTTTCTTTTTCTATGGGTGGAGCTGACTGACAGCCCGAGACGAAACACATGACAGTGTCATGAACTCAAGCAAATCCGACTTGGCACCAAGCTTGAAATGCACGCAAGCAAATCCGACTTCACATCACATACGCATCCACATCCACGGTTTTGAATCCCATCACGTGTCGGCATCATCACCTCAGCTGATCAATAAATGGCAGCCAACCTTCTGCCTTTGCCCCGACCTCGCCCTGACCTAGCCTTGCCTCTGCCTTCTCCAATCTTCCCCATCGTCTCCTTCACCAATCACCCAGCGACCGGCGTCCCCTGTTCCCTTCCCATGGAGGTTGCCTACCCCTACGGCGGGGAGCTCATCAGGAAGCACGGCTTCGTGACAGGCCAGCCGTTTGACGCCAAGATCGGCATCATGTCCGGCCAGAAGCGCGCGAGGGAGATGGAGATCCTTCGGCAGCGGTTCCAATCAGAGCTCGTCGCCGTCCGTGGCATCCTCCACAAGGCGGCCGCCGTGCTAGTTCCCGCCTCGTCCCCGTCGGCTCCCCGCGTCAAGGAGAGTCCTCAAGGGTTCTTGGCCGAGGAGCCGCCAGCCAAGAAGAGGAAGGCGTCTCCTCCCGTTCCTGTGATCAATCGCAAGAAGGCGCCAACGAAGAAGAAGATGACGACCTCTCAGAGGGAGATGCTCGCGGAAGACCTGGAGCTGTTCGTTGCGGAAATCCCCGATCACCTCGGCGAGCTCTTGAAGAAGCACAGCTGCGCCACCCGCCCCGGCGAAATCGAGATCGACCTCCACGCAATGGACGACGCCGCCGTCGTCGAGTTACAGGAGCAGGTTGACAAGTTCGCTCGAGAGAAGAAGGCGGCCAATCCGTCGACGCAAGAACGGCACCAAGAAGGCCCTAAGGCGATGGCCGAAGAGGAGGAGGAGGACGAAGAAGTTGACATCTGTGGCGGCGTCTCCCCCTTAGCGATCGTGCCGCAACCTCTGCTGCAAGAACGGCACCAAGACGGCCCTGAGGTGATGGCCCAAGAGGAGGACGAAGAAGTTGACATCTGCGGCGGCGTCTCCCCGTTACCGATCGTGCCGGCACCTCTGCTGCTCGTCGAAGATGAAACAGCCAGCGGCATCCCAAGCTCCAGCAGCAGCAGTTCGGATACTGATTCCAGCGACAGCGATTCAGATACTGAATCCGGCAGCAGCGACTCCGGCGGCAGTGACTCAGATTCTGATTCAGACGAGATCGTCGACAGCCCAGCTCCTCCAACATGCGAGCAGCTCGCCGGTGCTCTGGAAAGGCAGCGAAAGGAGGCCACGTCCCGGGCGAGGGAGAAGGCCCGTCAGGAAGTGCTCGAGATGGAGAGGACGGCAATGCCCGACGATACCCTACACCCAGAGGATCTGAAGAGCCTCGGCATTGATGAGTACAACACTGCGAAGCCCAACAACTTGTTGCGGCAGATTGGACTCTTCCGCAAGCTTGACGACGATGGCTGGAAGCAGCAGCAGCAGCATTATCATCATCGTCAAAGCTTCGAAGAAGACCTAGAGGAAGGGGAGATTCGGTCGTGATAGTCGTTGCTAGCAAGGTGCTATAATAAGTGATGCAGTCGCTCATGGCTTGATGCCTCACAGAAAACATGTAGCTCGATCTCTTCTGTAAATTGTATGTGTGCTGAACATGATTAAATATATGAAAATACATGATTGATTACACTGAGTATCAGCTAAATTAGTGATATCTTCTCTGTATACATGTTTAACAGAGATGTCCATTTCCAATATCGATCATACTGAATATTTAACATGAACTGCAAGCATATATATAATAATGACATATAAGGACCACTAAATGTTATTTTTATATTTGAGAATATGACCACTAAATTACAATCAAGCCACATATATAAAAGAGAGTTTTTATAACTTGGAGGCTCAGTATTTCTCAAAAGACATCTTCACATACATATGGAGATTAATATCACGATGTAAGATTGATGCCTCAAGACCCTGAATGATAGCATCACCTCATACATTCAATCTACAAAAAAGATACATCAAGGAGGCTTGTTCCAGTGGCACAGAGATTCGAGCCCTTTCAGTTTTCGTTTTGTGCCTGAATTTCCTCCTAATGGATATGCTAACTAGCTCCTCCTTGACATTCTCATTCTTTATACAACCCGCTTGCACCATTCTCATTCCCAACTGCGAACTATACAGTTCTTCAGTTAAGCATCCAACAACCTTCAGCTTAATCTTCATGGTTGTTTTCGCCTTCAGAATCTGTTTAATAGCAGGGGTAGCTTATAATAAATCCATAAGAGTATGCTGCTGAGAAAGAAAAAAAATCTAACACCAAGGAAATGAGCAAGAAAAGAATCACTGACCGGATCGAACATCCTCACCAACATGACCTCTGGATTGAATTTGTTTGACGAGCATCCGGTAAATCAGTACCCACCAATATATGTGAAAGACCAGAAGTGAAAACAAGAGAGTGTTGAAAAGATAATAGTACGAGGTTCTGTAGATTTTTCTGTTCTCGTTGTCCACGATCATAGCTATTTCATAACTGAAAAAGACGCAAGACCATTGAATTGATCAACAAAATGCACTACAAAACTTAGTAGAGTAATGCTGCTTTCTAATCAGGTAAAGTAGCACCACATGCCAGAACAACCAAGAATGTTTACCTTGTGCTTCTTAGGATCCAGAAAGGAAAAACTATTAGCCGAAGAAGGATCCACGAAGCCACAAAAAGTAGAAATGCTACAACAGCTAGCCACTCACAGCTACTGTACTTGGCCATCTTTCCGATCTCTAGGAATATATCACTTGCATCATGGAGGGGTAAAATGACCGAGCCAGGACGAGATAATCTGTTTGGAAGTAGCAACAACTTCAAGTTTGACTATGCTGTGTATTGTTATGGTATATAAGGGCAATTACACTCATCTGCATACCTGCAAATATAGGACACAACAATCAGAACAATAGTTGCCACATGGTGAGACATCATGACTCCGAAGTCCTTGCGTCTTGTTTCCCACAACAGAAGATCAAAGATAGAATATACGTAAAATCCAGCAGCATACATGTATACAGCCTTAAGCTTCAGCCTGGAGAGAAAAACAAACAATGTTGAAGCCCTTGGAAGTTGCAATAATAAGGAACAAAAGAGATTGTTTCTCTCTCTTACTTCATCTTTTGGTCAGGCCACAGCTGCTCGCCAGGCCCTACCCAAAAGTATCTTGTATTTGTAAACCACGATTCATTGTATGTTACAGATAGTGAAAAGAGTTCTGCAGAAAGATAATAAACAAATTTCCATGCCGATTCCTTAAATTTATTGATTTTCTTTCTCCTTTCATCTGTTTCAGCAAGCTTGTCATATCCCTTTCCAAATATAAGTCGTCTTGCTAACACCTGCGAAGAAAGTGAGATTTAAGAACTATAACATGTGCATGTAGTTCTGATTTGCACCATTCTTGAAACAATTTTGCTCACAGTGTATAGTAGTAATATGAAATCATTAAGTATAGTACTCCCGGTGACTTATGTAACAAGACAAGTACGCGGTAAGTCGGTACCTACGGCTGCAATGATGTTAGATTAGAAATTTCGAAGACCAACACCGGTACAAGGAAGGGCCATAGGTCATACCAGTCTTTGTACCATTTGGGACCGCAATCACTAGTTCAATCCCAACATCATCACTGAAGGAGAGAGGCAATTCATAAACTTCCATGTCCTTACTAATGCTCATTTGATATATGTGTGAATGCTTTGATTAATTGTTACACGATGGATTATCCAAATTGTACCCTATGTATGTTGTCAAATTTAAGGGTTCAGATAACATGATGTAAAGACCTACTTGGGTGGGGTAAGCACATGTTGTTTAGCGAATCTGCGATCTCCACATGACAAGTATTTGTACCAATGAGGGACGACGACAACATGATGAGCACGGGAAGCCATGAAATTTAAGCATTGATCCAATCTACTAACCTTTGATTATTAAGGCAACCATCTAGTAATTGAGCTGACCAAGCCCATTGGGAGGAGTTCAGTTAATTACAGGCAACTCACCTACCAAGCGTCTGAAACGAAGAGTACCAACGATCAAGATCATTTGACTAATTACCATGAACCGATCGATATCAACACGGTTTGAAAATCTTGCAGGAAGCTTTTCCGGGTCAACGTTGAGACCTGTGGACGCCTTGAGCGTGCCCAGAACTGGCTCATCCAACTCTTGGATGGGAAAACAAGAGAGATATCCCAGGCCAAGTGGACTCACTGCCCACGCACCAAACGCATCCTAACTGAAGAAGAGGGAAACAGCCAGACACAGACAGGCAATGAATTTACCTCGAAGAGGAACTGGTTGAGGAGGAGGCGCAGGGCGGGGAAGAAGGCGAGGAGCAGGGGGAGGACGGCGTAGTCGGCGTACTCCGGGTAGGCCTCCGCCTCCCAGTCCACCGGCGGCGCCGAGGAGGAACAGGATCCCACGAAGATCTCCAGGAGGGACGCCATTGCGGGCGGCTGGCTCCTGGATCCGAGGCTGGGCGCGCTGAGAGTGGGAAAAGGGATGACCCTGCCAGCAGTCAATACTGGGGAGCGAGGGGGACAAGCCGAGATTTGAGATGGTGATAGTAGTACTGAGCAAGAACTAACCTTTGTTTATTGGTGCTAGCGAGCGGATGCGGATGGACGGGACTGGTCCATTTCTGTAGGGGAGAGAAGCCCACTGTCTGTCTGCTCTGTATTGGGTGCAAGTGCAAGGAAAGATGACGAAAAGGCGTCCCAGAAAACGTGGACGGACAAGGAAGAAGAACGGCTACTGGATCTGCCCCGGTCAGTTAGGGCCGGTTCTCTGGAGCTTATCGATGGCTGCCAAAGCCACCTTGATTTGACATACCAATCCAGATTTCTTATCACAATGATAAGTGACGAACGTCAGCTGAAAGGGGATGGATGGCAAGGGAATGCTTTTTTTTTTCAACTTTACCCCATAGAAGACGGCAAATCCTGCCTTTTTTTGCCGCAATTTTTTTTCTTCTTTAAAGAAATTGCCCTGCGTTTACGAAGAAACTATCGAATCATACTGTACAGCGAACATTCGTCGGATATTGCGGCCCAAATTTTATTGTAGAAGCCTACTCTTACTAATTAAGGGCTCAACATTCCCCCTAGAAATATAAAAAGGACATAAATCTACTTTTTTGAAATGGAACACTTGTATTCCATCTAGATCACGGCAGAACTGCCGGTTATGACACAGGTTACATTGGCAGGGAGGCTGTCAAGCCACAAAGACGCTTCACCAGTAGCTAATCCTGCACCCATGGCGGCCAACACATGTGCTGGCTTATTACAGCTACGTGCAACATGGACTACTTCAGCCTGAATGAATTGGGTATTAAGCTTATACTACTTGATATCACGAAACAGATGACCCACCGGTGTGTAATCGTGCGAGCTTGAGGATATAGCATTTTGGAGAGTGAGGCTGTCAGTTTCAAAAAGTACACGGCCAACACCAAGATGATCACCCACATTAATAGCATGTACAAGGTGTGGAGGAACGTCGTACCCATCCTGGGCGACGGTTGCGTGTTTATATAGCCAGGTCGCGACCTTCTGGTATAGCGTACAAAGTTGGTTCAGATTACAACTTGGAGAAGAAGGGATAAAGGAGGTTACAAAGATAAACGCATATGAGCTAGATCCTAGTCTATCTTCGGTTGGAAACCTCCTGGCGATGGTTATCTGAACCTGTCACGTACGGCACTTGGCGTGACCAATATTTCGTTCAACACCCTTCCTTAATCACAACTTGGTCAAGTTGAGATTACGCTTGAACTCTTCAAAATTTTGTGTAGGCAAAGCTTTGGTGAATCCATCTGCAACCTGATCACGCGAGTGAATGAAGCGAATTTCCAACTGCTTGTTTGCAACTCGTTCTCTAACAAAGTGGAAATCAATCTCAATATGTTTTGTCCTTGCATGAAAGACAGGGTTAGCAGACAGATAAGTAGCACCAAGATTATCACACCATAAACATGGAGCTTGGGTAGTCTTTACACCAAGCTCTCGCAGCATGGACTGGACCCAAATAATTTCAGCTGTGGCATTTGTCAAGGCCTTATACTCAGCTTCAGTACTGGATCTTGATACAGTGGCTTGTTTCTTTGCACACCATGATATTAAGTTTGGACCAAAAAACACTGCAAAACCACCAGTAGATTGTCTATCATCTAAACAACCTGCCCAGTCAGAATCAGAGAATGCACTGACAAGTGTAGATGAAGACTTGTTGAAAGTGAGACCAAGATTAACTGTATCTTTTACATATCTCACTATACGTTTAGCAGTTGTCCAATGAGTTGTAGTAGGTGCATGAAGAAACTGACAAACCTTGTTTACTGCAAATGAAAGATCAGGTCTTGTCAAAGTTAGATACTGAAGTGCACCTACCAAGCTCCTGTACCTGGTACTGTCATCTTGACCCAAGGGCTTTCCTTCTGTAAGTGACAACTTTTCTATGCTGGACAGTGGAGTTGGAGAAGATTTACATCCTTATAACCCAACTCTTCTCACCAGATCAGTAGCATACTTTTCCTGAGAGAAATGAAGACTATTGCCTTGTTTCTTGACTTCAATCCCTAGGAAGAAGTGCAAGTCACCCAGATCCTTGAGAGCAAACTCAGCATTTAAATCCTTCAACGGTCCTGATATAGCCTCATTAGATGAGCTTGTGACAATAATATCATTAACATATATAAGAACGAATATGGATGTTTTCATCTTGTTGTAAATAAACAAGGATGTGTCAGACTTAGAAGGAACAAAGCAAAGAGTTTGCAATTTGTGACTTAGTCTGGAGTACCACGCCCTAGGGGCTTGTTTGAGTCCATATAATGCTTTATCAAGCTTGCACACATGAAAAGGGTTTGTTCTTATTCTCAAAACCAGCAGGTTATTTCATATATACTTCCTCTTCCAGAACGCCATGCAGAAACGCATTATTGACATCTAGCTGTCGAAGGCTCCATCCCCTGGAAACAACAATAGAGAGCACAAGACGAATGGTTGCAGCTTTAACAACTGGACTAAAGGTGTCCTCATAGTCAATGTCGTATCGTTGTTTAAAGTCTTTTGCAACAAGTCTGGCTTTGTAGCGATCAATGGTTCCATCAGCCTTCTTTTTTACTTTAAAAACCCACTTGCAATCAATTAAATTTTTATCATGCCGTGGAGGAACCAGATGCCATGTTTTATTTTGCAGGAGCGCCATGTGTTCTTCTTCCATGGCTGTCCTCCAATTCTTGTCACCGAGCGCCTCTCCAAGAGTACTAGGTTCTTCTGTAGAGCAAACGAGACTGAACTTTGTTAATTGTTTGTAATTTACTGGTTTGATTACCCCTTTTTGAAGACGTGTTCGCGGAGCAGCAAACACAGAAGTTGGTGCAGAAGATCCTGCTGCTGTAGCGACAGGACTTGCAGATCCCGAGGCTGATCCCGTAGCATCCCCCGCGTCGCTGCCAGCCAGACCGGATGGATCATCTGCACCGGCACGGGGTGGAGGTGTTGGAGAGGCAGCTGGGTCAGGCGCAGAAGATCCTGGGCCGCGGGACACGTCCGGCGCAGGCCTATCAGGGCGCAATGATGAGGCGGACCCAGGTGGAGCCACACCGGATCGCGCGCCAGCTGACTGGGCCGAATCCACCCAGGAATCCGCGCCTGTCTCCTGTCGGGCCGGAGCGACCCTGGGAGCCGCGCCTGTCTCCTGGCGGCGGACATAGTGGCGGGGCCCATCAGCGGGCCAGCGAGCCTCGGTGCGCCGTGTGGGGGCGTCTGAATGGGGCGGGTTGGATAGGTCGCCCGCGGGACCGCTGCTGGGTCGGCTATCAGGCGGCACGGAAACCCACACGCTGCCCCTGGCGACAGCTCAGATCCCGAAGGAGATCCGCTGGCAGACTGCGGTGGAACTGATCCCGAGGCGGATCTGTCCCCCAGCCCTGGACACGTAAAATGTTGCATATTTGACAGATTTTCTTCACTGTTTTGGATATTTGCTGCACCATTTTCTTCGTAGTTTTCATCTGCATCATCATAAAACTCATGCAAAGGGTTATGATCATTAGTCAACGGTGAATCATTACAATCATTATCCCCATGAGAGATGCTCGTAAGACTGGATGGTAGAAGAAGGATTTCTTTTCGAAGGAGTGCACCGGCATTAGGATGAAGTTCGGAGAAAGGAAATTTTGTCTCATCAAACATGACGTCGCGAGAAATATAAATGCGACCAATGGAGATGTCAAGACACTTGACACCTTTGTGTTGAGTGCTATAGCCAAGGAACGCGCATTGCTTGGAACGAAACATGAGTTTGCGGTTGTTGTATGGTCGGAGATTTGGCCAACAAGCGCAACCAAACACACGAAGTGTTGTATAGTCGGGTTTGGTGTGAAGAAGACGCTCAATGGGAGTTTCATAGTTTATGACACGGCTAGGAAGCATATTTATAATATGTACCGCAGCAAGAAAGGCCTCGTCCCAAAACTTTAGGGGCATGGAGGCACTGGCCAAAAGTGCTAGACCGACTTCAACGATGTGTCTGTGTTTGCGTTCAGCGGACCCATTCTGTTGATGGGCGTGAGGACATGACACGTGATGAGATATGCTAATTTTCTGGAAAAATGAGTTTAGCTTCTCGTATTCCCCTCCCCAATCATATTGGAGAGTAAGGATTTTGCAATCAAACTGGCGCTCAACGAGAGCTTGGAAGTTCAGAAACACTTGGAACACATCGGACCTTTTTTTAAGAAGATAGATCCATGAAAACTTGCTATAATCATCTATGAAACTCACATAATACGTGTGCCTACCAACAGAGGAGGGGGCAGGACCCCACACATCAGTAAACACAAGTTGTAAAGGCTTGGTGGAGATGTTGGTAGAAACTGGATAAGGTAATTGGTGGCTTTTAGCCTTTTGACAAGAATCACAAATTGTTTCAACATCACGCTCTCCAACATACGGGAGCTTATTTTTCCTAAGCAATCGCTCAACTAAAGAAAAAGATGCATGTCCTAAATGATCGTGCCATCGTATTGAAGACACTTTGGTGGCATTGTGTGACGCCCGGATAATTAAGCTACAGTAATCCCACGCTAATGATGCAACGTCACCACAGTTACTGTTGTTAAACTCGTGATGATTCGAAACCCTTTCAAGGTTCAAATTCAAATTAATGTCAACAATAAAAGTTTTCAAAAGTTAAAACAAAAATGTTCGGGCAGTGCCAAAAATGGCACAGGTAATTATGGTGTAGAAGACGCAATTTTATAAAATACCTAAATGCCCTAAATTAAATAAAACAGAAAAGAAAAAAAATAAATAAATAAAAGAAAATACAAAACAGAAACAGAAAAAAAAGCCCCCCCTGGACCAGACGGCCCAGCTCGCAGCCAGGCCGGCCCACCTGGCCATCCGGCCGACCCGGCCCGTTCCCCCGGTCGCTCTCC